ATTGATCATATATTTCAGGCCAAGATGTCAAACGTAAATAAAAATATAAATTAATACCCCAATACATGTAAATTCTTACCTAACAGGAACATTGGGTCCTGATCTTTCAGTTTGGCTTTCAGGGAACAGCAGTTTTGAAAATGAACAAGTTCGTAGCATAATATCGCCAGTAGAATTTATACGACGAAGTCTTTCCTCGTTGATTATTTTACCACAGTGTTGTCTCAAGTTAGACAATTCACCAGAAATAATTTCGCAAGCGTTCTCTTGCTGAAAGGTTTGGACGAGCTTTTCAAGAACATCGATCTTTATAGAAGTTTCCATTGATCCTAATCGCTGAGTAGAACTAGAAGTAGCGTTTTTTCAAGTCGACAAGAATCGAGCTATTGCATATGACTTGTATTTATTGCGCAATCAAAATACATTCACCGTGGCTCACCGTGGCGCACATGACCAAAACGTTCCCTGTGATTGGCTTGAAACGCTGCACCGTGGCTGAAGGTTACTATATTTAGCAACTATTGCGAAATTTTTTGAACGCTGACCGTGGCTTTTCATTCTGAGATTGCAGGCTCGAATTTACGAACATATTCCGAGCATATTAATGGCGTATTCGGCAAGATTCGAGACGCTTTCGGTGATTTTACAGTTCAGAGTTTAACTGGATCATAATACTATTTTAACAAGACGTCGTCGTTTAACAAGACGTTTTGACAAAAAATTACAAAATTCATTCAATTTTTGCTTTTGATCGAATTTTGCTGTATTTGAGCAAAATTTTTAATCATGAAAAGTCAACCCTGCAAAAACTTAAGTGGCAAAAATTCTGACCGTGGCTCAAGCCACTTTCGCCATGGCCTAGATCCGCCCCTGTGTGATATCATAACTTGAGGCCTTGAAATCTCGAGAATTGGGGGGGGGGACAAATGTTCATATGTGCATGTTCTATCTTATTAGCTTCCACTGAAATCAATTGTGGTTATGGATTAACAAAGATTAAAACATACGAATATATGAATATTTGCACCCCAATTATCGAGATTGCGCGGCCTCTAAAGACGGTTTATAAAACATCCAACAATATATTTTTAAATATATTTTAAAGGTATACATAGCTATCAACGCTTTTTTAGCAAAATTTCCCCGAACAAACATAAAAAGAGCATTGTGTCTCTGATTTCAATTGATTGAATCAAAATCGTCAGTAGCATGCTCCATGTATAATCTTGAACTTGGGTTTGTTAATAAATATACTAAGTCAGCCGTGTGATCCTTATCCATTGTGCTAAGTTATGACTTTGAGCGTCTCAATCGTCTATATTTCTGTGCGTTATTACTTGCAATACGAATACTGTACAATATCTTAAGCTTTTTAGTTTTGACTGAATTTAGCAAAGCTTTTTGAAAAGCATGATAATTCGTTCGCCCATACGATGAATTGAGCTCGAGTTTACATGTTTATGAATAGAAGATGACAACTGGCAATATAAAATATTATTAGACACCAGTCACAAAAACAATTTCGGTCTTCATTGGTCTGCAAAGAATTCCTAATATTTTTATTTATGACGTCATACAAACGAAAAAATTGCTGGTATTGTTAAGTATGACGTCTTATCTGCAAATAATAGTTTCTACAATTGTTAACGCGATTAAAAGCCGGTTTTGAAAAAATTAAATTATAGCAAGGTTTCTGAGCTCAACTTTGCTTCGGCAGACAAGGTTGAAAAATATACTTGGTATCATGCTAAACTTCATCCAATAATTGTTAAATATACGTATGTTTTTGGCAGTATTGTTTTATTGCTATTTTTTCTTAATAAAAACGAACGCTCCACACATGCAAGAGTAGCATTGTATTTATTACACTAAGTTTGGCATGTATCAAGCGCTTTAGACGAATTGTTATTAAGACCTTTAATATTACACAGTACAAGTTTAAATGCCGTAAACTTTCCATCATATTGCACAATTGAGAAATAAAGGTACCAAATATGACAATAATATATCAAGTCTGGTTACTTAAATTATAAAATTGTACTTTTAACCCATTTACAAACAGAGTTTTGCTTGCCCAATGGCAATTTCGCAATTTAGGTTAATTTCATGTCATAAGATTGTCCTAAAAGCATACCGTTTGGGAGCAATCGAGCAATTAAAATGAGAAAACAGCCCGTAATTTTTTTATCGAGAAATCCACGAATGCACTAAATCGTAATACTCGTCTTCGTTTGTATATTCGACCATTACCAAGAATAATGACAGATGGGCAGACTCTTCAGTATAGCATAGTAGCTAGTTTTCTGCGCCTGCGGCGGAATAAAAGAGACGATGTTTTCGCACATTTTAAATAAAAAGCAAAATTCTGATGAATTTAAGAACATTTTGTGCATAAAGATTACAATGGTGCATTAGACTTCATGCTATTGTTGATTTTGTAAAATTGAATCGAAAGAGAAGAAAATTGTGAATATTTCATTCATTGTTTTAACACTTTATAACTCTAAGTATCGTTGCAATTTTCACATTTCAATATGAGTATTATTCGTGTAAGCTGTAAATTGTATCATAGATATAAGCTTATAGCCTAGGTACGATGTATCATTTTAGAATACCCAACTTCTAATTATCATTTATCTGCTGTGGGTAGAATTATTAATTCCATTCTCAATATTTGAGTTATCCATGAAACAGCTTTTAATTTTATCAATATTGTTAGTTGTTGCATTTTATTATTTGGTAAAACATCGCTTTTATCACTTAAATAACTTTAAAAGATTCTGGCAGTGCTTGAAGTAACTCAGATAAAAAGTCAAATAATTAATTGATTCTACTATAATAATTCCAAAAACCTTAATATGAAGAAAACAAACGTTTATCTTGGTATCATCACATAAAACAATTTCATTGAGGTCGTCACCCATAATAGCTTTAAAAACACGATTAGAAACAACAGCAAACTAACTATATAAGTTTTAGCCACATTATGATTAATGTTTATAACCATGTAACTGTCAAGAACATGATGAATTGTGCATGGGGCTGTATACATCAGTTCTATGCGATTGAGGCCATCAATCTCAATGCAGTAGCCAATAAATTGCTTAAGCTTAAAAAATGACTTATAGCGTACTATGCCATGTGTCAAAAACTTACAAAATCAAAATAACTTGCAATGAAATATATAAAAATAAAACAGTATGCTACTATTGTAACAGTACTATGTACAATGATGATGTCATAAGCTTTATTTTCTCTGAAAATTTTGTATTTAACATCCAATCAATACGTATTGCGTCAAAAAAGGTGAGGATGTCGTTTCAAGTAAAGAACATGGTTGAAAAAGAATTAATTAAGATTAAGACTTTAATTTTTTAAATCTGGAAAATACTCGTTCAAATACTTCACATTAATTTAGAAGTAATTCAATAAAACGTAAATAAGGCAATATTCTTCTATGAAATTTATAAAGTCGACAGGGATGATCTTGCTTAGCTTAACTGGTTCAGTGATTCACGTGCACTATTCACAAATTTACATACTTACACATTAAGATATACATTTTTATAAACGTCTTTATGTTCGTACATTTTTTTTAATTGGCAAGACTCGGTAAAATCATTGTCACTGTAAAAATCTTCATGTAGGAGGGGAAGAAGTCGGAGTATGGCAAGTTGTGTTACCCCCAATGAGTGCTGGAGGTCCTTATTGTATTACTGCGCTTTCATACGTACACAGTAAAAGAAAGGGCCATTTTAGCCCCATGAGGTCGTTTTGGCTTTTGAAATTGCTAGCCGTATTGGCTAACAATAAGGGCTAAAACAGACAATAGAGCCGTTTTGGCTCCATGACGGTTGTTTTTGCTCTACAATTGGTGCCAAAATAGAAATATACGGGCCAATTTGGCCCCATGAGGTCGTTTTGGATTTTGAAATTGCTAGCCATATTGGCTAACAATGAGAGCTAAAACAGACAAGAGGGGCCGTTTTGGCTCCATGAGGTTGTTTTTTGCTCTACAACTGGTGCCAAATTGGTTCGAGAGCAACTTGATGACTGCATCGAATCGGGTGACACAATACAAATATGGCGGCCAACTGTTTCATGATGCGCGTTTCGATTGCTGTTTTCACTATGATAACGGCCGTAGATGACTATGATATTGCAGAAAAAATAATATTCTATTATCATTCAAAGTATAGAGTTTTTGAAGACGACCATTTGCTTTGTTTGTAATGGTTTTTAAAATGATTCAATTGTCGTAGGAGTGAACGGCAGAAAACAAATTATGTCAGGTATTGTCTAGTATAAAACACTAGTTCAGATTAATCTTTTTGTTTTAAGCACATTAAAATATAAAACGGGAATAACTGCAATGTCGAATATCTCGCTTTTGAAAATTTTTTGCTAAAATGTAAAAAAAAACAGTGCAAGTCTCTTGGAGTAAGAGTTCAAAAGTAGAGTCAGGATTTGGATGAAACGTTGGGGTTAGTGTTCGATGTTAGAGACATGATTAGGTGTTTAGGATTTTAACTGCAAATTCTTTAAAAGGTATTTCAAAAAAAAAAAATACTAGTTTTAAGTAAATTTTTCCTTAAAACAAGAAATAGTATCTTGTCCTTTCTACAAGAAAATTATGTTAAGAAATTTCTTAAAACAGGAAAATGCTCTAAGCAAGAAAATTTATCTTAAGTAAATTTTTCCTTAAAACAAGAAATGTTATCTTGTCCTTCTATAAGAAAATTATCTTACTAAATTTCTTAAAACAACAAAATGCTCTAAGGAAGAAAATTTATCTTAAATAAATTTTTCCTTAAAACAAGAAACATTGTCTTGTCCCTTCTATAAGAAAATTATCTTACTAAAAGCATTCTATGTTTGATTAACATATACGAGAAGATATTGAACCGTTTAACACACACTAATCGAAGACCTTGCAATGTTATAAGCACTAAGTATGTATCTAGAAATGCTTAATGTTATTATTTATTTTTTTTATTTAGTCGGATAATGGAACGGAGGCAATAAATGATTCCATTAATTATCCCAAGATACGATTGTTTTCTGCAGGCCTTGATTGCAGTGTTATGCCTAGGACGGAGTTATGCAAAATAGAATTGCCTTGGTCCGTTGCTTCACCAGGTATTTATCATACTGTCAAAAAAAATAGGCAAAGAAAATTTACAAAGGGTTGATTGAATCGGAGAGTCATTTTGTTAATCTATATGCAATATGCAATTTCAGAGACAGTTTGCATAGAAACAAAGAAGTGCTTACAAATTTAAAATATAAGTACTATCGAAAGTAGCAGTGTCGTCGCTACCTACCAGTGTCGTCATATCGTCTTGTTTGGGAGAATTAACTTGTTTTAAGATCAATTGTTTCTCAGAGATTATAACTTGCATATATAAATTTTATCCTCCTTATTTATCGTGCTGTTGATGCTACCTGAAAAGAAATATTTCAAAAGAATACTTCACGATACAAATGGAACCAATTTGATTATTCTTCAAGTATTTTTCAAAGTGATTTTATTTTTATACGTGAGCTGTCTTTCAACTCCCCTGCTTTACATTGTGATTTTATTTGAGCTAAGCCTTTTGAACAACATTTAATCACCATTAAATTATTTATCAAAATTGATAACAATGAATAAAATTCGATAAACATACTTTTGTAACTGTAAAAGTGTGTGATGTGTAATGTCAAATAAATATTATAAGTTTTTTCTTACTCAAACATTTTCTTATTTTAAAATAATTAAAGCAAGGTTTAGTACCAGTAAATTCAACAGCACGCTTGATTCATGAGATTTTTCTATAATATAACGCCTTTTTATGGTAAAATTTATCGTTTGTGTTATTAGAAACGGTAGGTGGAAACTCGTGGGCATATTTTTCTGCCGTATGTTGGTATTATGGAGTGCAGCTGTACAAGACATTGAACTACTCAATTGGCTTGATCGCCACTAGTTTTGAAGGAAGTCCTATAGAATCATGGTCCTCACAGGATGCTCTTAAACAATGTGGATGGATTAAGGAATTTTTATTTGCTCTACCGAATTCGTAAGTATCCTGGCGTTTTCACGTGTTTTTTCTCGTTGTAACTCGAGGTTTCACTCAATGATAAACAGTTTTTACCTCTTTTATTTATTTTAAAAACCTTACACAATCCTTCTTTTACTTAAACAATGATTATTATTCCAGCGTAGACCTCCAGATTTTTTCTTGATTACTGATCTATAATTTTTAAAACATCATGGAAATTTAAGCTTTTTGGGAAAGACTTAAAGAATAGCCATAAGTCCTTTTTTATTGCCTTTATTATAGTGATCCTTAAATATTTTATTAATGTAAATATTTTATCACCTGATTAGCTGACAAGCAAAGAAAGCCATAAACAAGCTTATTTTCGATTAAAAAACATGGTGGTAGTTTAAGTTAACAAATGTTTGCACAGTTGCAATCGTGGGATTTTCAAGAATTACAAAACGATGCAAAGAAAACAATGTGTGTATCATGTATATTTGCATGCTTTGTACAAGTGTTAAATAAAAACTCACTCGGGTTTGTTTATATAAACTTATTTGTAAAACTATATTATACAGGGTGACCCAAAAAGATGAGTACCCATGAAAATTTCAATTATGGCTTTAATTAAAAAGCTATTTATTTCAAATTACAACCACACATCATTCAGTTTATGGAAGACTATTCACAAGAGTTTCGGCTATTTCTATCAAATTTTAGTCAAGTTATGGCTTTCCTAAGATGTGTTCCAAATGTCCATCATTTCGTTGCAAGCAAACCTGTACTCGTCTGGCAAAGGTTTGAATCACTTTTATACACTCCTCTTTCGAATGGCTCTTATTTTTGAAGAACGTAAAACTGCCATCACAGCAAGGAGTGTATAAAAGTGATTCAAAACTTTGCCAGACGAGTACAGGTTTGCTTGCAACGAAATGGTGGACATTTGGAACACATCTTGGGAAAGCCATAAACTGACTAAAAATTGACAGAAATAGCCGAAACTCTTGTGAATAGTCTTCCATAAGCTGAATGATGTGTGGTTGTAATTTGAAATAAATAGCTTTTTAATTAAAGCCATAATTGAAATTTTCATGGGTACGCATCTTTTTGGGTCACCCTGTATATTATTAATACTATAAAGTAATGAGAGGCAAAAATTCATATCAGTAACTCATTTATTATCATAGGGTGGCTTTTCGACAGTTTGTTACAATTGCGTTTTTATAATTTCATAAGATTATTTCGTGGAGCATTTTTAACGATAATTAAGTTAATATTTAATAGGATTCGTGATTACGTTTTCAAAAATTTCACAAGAAAAAACCCAAATTTTTCTTAAAACTAGTCACAATCCAGCCTACACGTTTTTTCATTCTATTTTGTATATTTTAGCTTTCAACATCAACCAAAAAAATAAATTTCTGAAAACGTAATTATTAGAAATGATCAAAATTTATATATCATGACTAAGCTTACAGCAATCTTTGGCACAGAATAAAGATAAGCAAAATTTTCCATTCAATATAATTTTTTTGTCTCAACTTTCTCTTGACTTCCAGTTTTGTTGTCATATTAAAACTAAAAACGCCTCTGGGGCAATTACACTAAAACTTTTCTTTATTAGAAACTATTATTACGAAATATCAAAATACATAAGAAAAAAGTTAAAGGAAGTCTGGCTTTATACATTTATAATTATTAAAGCAACATCAAAAAAACAATAAGCAAGAAAAATGAATTTTTTCCTTTAATGCACCTGTTTTTTATACTGTTTTTTATACATTAATTATAATGAATGCGGCATGTCCATTGAAAACGATTGATCGTAAATTTTCCAATTGACATGTCATGAAAGCTCTAATAATCAATTTTTAAATGTATCTTGTTTTTTTTCCAGTACATGTGTATTAAAATGCGATTTTCAATATGATTATCAGCGGGGGGGAGAGAACAACGCCTGCTCGTTTTATAAAACAAAAAAATCAATCGAGATTTGGAGGAAATTTTTGCTTTTTATGTATTTTTAGAGGATTACCTTTGTTGAGTACGTTCCCGCTGTATAGTTGTATGTGGAATTCCATGATTGTGCCGTTTCTTAATATGACCATCTATGGTGCCATATTTTATCAAGGAGAAACAAATGCTATGAACCCAAAATATTTTGTGTTGCCGTACAACTGTACTTTTCCTGCCATGATAAATGATTGGAGAGCAAAATGGTACGCTTCTACACAAAATAACACTGACCCACAGTTTCCTTTTGGTTTCGTTCAGGTGGGTTTCATCAGCATTAAAAGAGTCCTTGTAAATTTTTCCAATTGTTGAAAACTAATCGTTTTGATATCTATAAATATTTAGTTGTCCGCTGTTAATTACAGCCAGTCGTTACATTTTGCTCAGTTACGTTGGGACCAAACAGCACAGAAGGGCTACGCTCCAAATGCACAACTAAACAATACTTTTATGGCTGTAACAATGGACTTGGGAAATCCTTCATCACCATATACGAGCATACATCCCACTGATAAATTCAATGTTGGCTATCGCTTGGCGTTATCTGGCCTTTCATTGGTTTATGATAAAAAAAAGTACTTCACTGGACCACTTGTACGAAAAATCGAAAGGATTGCAGTCAAACTTGGCACTCTTCTTGAGATAAAGTATGAATTTGTTAACGAAACGATTGAAGTAAGGAAACACACAGGCTTTGAGGTAAGTTTTAAATATCAATGACAGCTTATATCATAGGAATGCAACAAATCATGAACGTCTTATTTCTTTAACGTCTGAAAAACGTTAAACTAACTATCTCGTAAAATATATCTTTATGCTCAGTATGTCTCCGTGCTCACACATACATGGATCTGCCTTCCAAAAACGTACTCCAATAGTAGCCAAGTTACTTCATGCAGCAAACTTTTTACTAATTTTTGCGTAGGTACTTTGTGATGGTACTTGGACAGCGTCACGAATTGTGCACTATACCATCACATCCGTATTCCTACGGGCCCGTTGTAATCCTGACAAGGTCAGATATGCTTGGTCTGACTATCCTTGCGAGTCATTGAAGTGTGCTGTTTACAGTGGAGGACTACCTTCTCCACCATTTATTATGGATGGTCCATTTTCCTTGAAATAAAAACTTAAATGATTTTTATACCGCGTAATCAACTTTTTTTAGTTAGCATTCATTTGTATTTGTTATTATTGAGTTGAAAACAAAAAATGCAAAATTCGTCTTTTAGTCTTTTTGTTAAAATTTCAAAATTAAGTATTTTGAAATTACAATTTGAGAATCACATAAGAAAAATTATTCGAAAATATTTAAACTAAGATACGACACATCATTATTTTCCCATTAAATGTTGCAAAAGCTTTAATGCATGCATCATTTTTTTCCAAAATCCTTTTTAATCCGATAAAGTGAAAAATAAACCATAAAACACACTCCAAAAAACATCATGTTGTGAACTCAAGATTTGAGCTCTAAAAGCAAGAGACAAAATTTATCAAATTAAGTAATTATTTGCAAGCAAGCGTGATCGTAAATAGTGGTTATGAGGAAATGACGTAAGCAATGAAAAGAAAGAACATTGGAAGGTGTAAATATTTAGGTGTTAAGTGATCTAACTGTGAATAGTACCATATTATTTCTTAATCCCTTAATTTGTAAACAGTAACATCTTCTAATTTTCTTTCTTTTCATTTCTTACGTCATTTCCTAGTAACAATTATTTAAGATCACGCTTGCTTGTAAATAATCACTTAGTTAATAAGGACTTTGAAATAAAGTCGAAATATTGCTTCAAATCTTGTCTCTGCTGTCATTACTAAAATCTTTATTAACAAGATGATGCATATGTGTTTTGGAGTGTGCACAGTAAAAAGAAATGGGCCATTTTAGCCCTATGAGGTCGTTTTGGCTTTTGAAATTGCTAGCCATATTGGCACCATGACAGTTGTTTTTGCTCTACAATTGGTGCCAAAATAGAAATATACGGGCCAATTTGGCACCATGAGGTCGTTTTGGCTTTTGAAATTGCTAGCTATATTGGCTAACAATGAGAGCTAAAACAGACAAGAGGGGCTCCATGAGGGTTGTTTTTGTTTTACAACTGGTGCCAAATACGTTCGAGAGCAACTTGATGACTGCATCGAATCGGGTTACTCAATACAACTATGGCGGCCAACTATTTCATGATGCACGCGCGTTTCGATTGCTTTTTTCACTATGATAACGGCCGTAGATGACTATGATATTGCAGGAAAAATAATATTCTATTATCATTCAAAGTAAAGAGTTTTTGAAGACGACCATTTGCTTTGTTTGTAATGGTTTTGAAAGTGATTCAATTGTCGTAGGAGTGAACGGCAGAAAACAAATTATGTCAGGTATTGCCTAGTACGAATGTATTTTTTGCATTTTAGCAGTTTTAATTGCTTTTGAACAAACTAAATCACATATTATGACAAAGATCTGATATTTTAGTTCTCAAAAAATTTTTGTAAGATTTTTTGTTGTACCCATTTGAGATTATTTAGCAATATAAAGAGTTAGTGAACTTAGAAGTATCAAATAAATTCAAGATGTACTTAGCTATATATTTTCTAAATGAACAACAAAATATTTATTTCTTTTATATATACGCCTTGTTATATAAGTCGTTACTCATGAATCTTGTTGTTTGCTGTAACTCAGCTTCAATACTGAATATTGCCCCTATACTAATTCTGAACAAAGAAAAACACATTTTTACATATGCTTCAATCATTCTGGTCAACAAAAAGCCTATTTTTAGTTGAAAATTGTTGAGTTCGAGTTACTCGCCATATCTCTTTCTTAGTATACTCTATACCTTGAGTAACAACAACGAGTGAACTTAATGATCGAACTGATTTTTATTATTTTACAAAGCAGTATTTATACTTTTTATTACAAACAACAAATAATATTATTGGCCTGAGTAGTTCCTCTGTTAAAGCTATATATGGTATATAAGGAAATTTAACTAAAGTCAATAACTGTTCCTTGGCTCTTAGTCGTGTGGGAACGGATACATTTCCTTAATATGTTTTTGTGTTTTATGAGCATGACTCAACAAAAATACTTCAAAGTGTAAACCTGCAACTCCAGTTTTCATATTTCTCACATTTACAAGAAAATATGCCTTAGGGAACCTTAAGAAATGCACTGTTTTCATTAAAAATGGAATTTGTTCTTTGCTTTATGATGAAGTAATGGCACTTTTGAGCAATTTGATAGGCAATACTTTAAAATGTGATGATATTTGCTATGAACATGCACACTTCATATTTTAAATCAGTAAATATTGGTATTAATTGTAATTGTGAATATCACATTTAGGCAAAACATGTGTCTGGTTATGTGAACAGACAGGATTCAGAAAGTGAAGTGAGAGATAGTACTGCAATGATCTTTGTGGGTAAAACTGAATTTCAGGATGTACTGTTCTGTTTACAACATAGGTACGATAATGCTCACAAAACTCTTTTGTGCACAAAATTTCAGCAGCAAAATACACCCTTTCAATTGATGAGTTTAAAACATGGATTGATTTAATCTCAGCAAAAACAGGCAAAAAATTGTTGAAGCCCACATGGATAATTGCCCCAATTTTGTTGAGTGTTCCAAGGAATTTTACCCAGGAAGTCCTATAAAAGATAGTTCATACTTTAAAATTTTCATTAATTAATGAGCACACATAGGTCAGATACTGCACACCAAGCAGAGCCAATGCTTGTAGAAAAATTTCTCATGGATGAGACATGACAATGTATGTCCTCTTACTTGTACACAAGATCTTGATCATTCAAGTGACCATCAATTTGTTTTAATTCTTCTTTCGATGGATCATGTAAAACTGAAAGTTGCAAGCCTTGACAATGACAAAAAGAATGTGCAGCAAGTAAAAATTATTAAGAAAAATTGACAGCTGATAAAAATGTAAATGCAGAGACTTCAGGGAATTTGGGCATTGAACCATTTCATGTTTGGATTGTAGAACCTCAAAGACACAAACATTTATCACTTACACTAATTTTCTCTGCAGGTTAAATAAATATTGTTATTGAATATTTAAGTAATGTATATACCTGGTCCACATTCAAGAGGCTTCATAATACTGGACTTTTGATCTTCCCCATAAAAATAGTAAAGACTTAATTTGCAGCTTCTGGTGCCTCTCAGCAAATGTAAATGGCACATTTATGAAATTTCCAAGGGAAAGAGCAACTTGCTTGAAGTATGTGTGCTTTGACTCATACCTCATGCACCAAGATCGTACCATTGGGCCAAGCCTGCAAAAGTATTAATTGTGAAACTTGTACATTGCCTTGTACTAGACTAAATATCTCAACAATAAGGTTTCACAATGTTCATTACATTACTAAAAATAATTGGCATGCCATTTACCATTAGCCATTATATAATTTTGTATAATTCTACTGTTTGTTTCTTTACTAAGCAGTTACCTGACAATGGTTCTTGGGTAGTGGATTAGGTAGTGCATCTTGGGGAAAATAGATGCAGCAGGGTACTGTTCAACAAATCGCATATGATGTTCTTCAATTATATTCTGCAAGTCGCTCGCTTGTTCACCACTAATGACAGGTGAAAACACCAATTCAACTATTTCAAGCAGTAATATGAAGAGCTGAAGCTGTTCATCTTCTCTCGACACACGATTTCCCAAAAGTAATGGCAAGTGTCTTGCAAGGCACCATGCCTGAGAAGCAACAAATGAGCTACCGTGTTATTAAATGTTTATTTTTGTTTAATGCCGGGCAAAACGTGTCAAATTTACTAGTATTAAAGCATATAGTGCAAAAAAGTGAATACATAACAGCGTAAGGTGTAATAAATACTTGCACAACGTGGTGCCTGACAAATAACGTGAAAGTTATCCTCAAATTCGTGGTACCGTTTTAAATGATTTCGTAACAATTGTTACGAAAATTATCAATAGGATCTTATTAGACTTCCAATAGGAATATAAGATTCCTGTAGGATATCCTATAGGAAGGCAGAGTGAATTCATTTTTATTCCGATTCCGATAGGAAATATATTAAGAAAATGGCGGCAATTTTAAAGCCTATAGGAATATTTAAATTTCTGTAGGAAATCCTATAGGAAGGCAGAGTGAATTCATTTTTATTCCGATTCCGATAGGAAATATATTAAGAAAATGGCGGCAATTTTAAAGCCTATAGGAATATTTAAATTCCTGTAGGAAATCCTATAGGAATCCATAATGGTGATTTGTTTTGCAATTCCGACTGGAAATCCTTTAAAAAAATAGTGGGAATTAAAAACCTTTATGAATATTAAAATTCCTATAGGAATTCTCCTGGAAATGTTATTGGAAAAACATATATAGCAATCGAAACATATAGGAAATGTTATCTATTTTTTCCCCAAATTTACAACTATGGTAGATTCTTTAGAAATCTAATGCATGAAATAAACGAAGCATTGTGGTATGGAGTTGGTGGTTGTGTAAAAGACAATGATAATGTCATCTCTTGAATCAAAGACTGCTGTTTGAATTCTTTACCAGAATTTAAACAACAGCTTTACGACCTGACATTGATTAAACTCCTCAAAGCAGAGCAACAAAACATGTCGAAATTTAGTCATTAGATAATGAGTTTTCAGAACCATTACGAACACCAACAGCATGCAATTGAAGAGGAATTGATTTTCGATTTCGCCACAATTGTGATGTTATAGTTGGTATGCGATTCCTTCAGGGATTCCTATTACAATGTGAAATCTCATAGAAAAAGAAAATTCTTATAAGAAGTGCTTTAGAAAAATTCACAGGAATTTGCGAACTTATAGAAAAATATATTTTCAAATTCTTATACAAAAAGCTATGGGAAAAATGTAAAAATAACAAACTCAAATCATCCTTGAATTAGCTAAAAAAAATTATTGTGAGATGAAGTTGGATTTTTTCATTTGTAATAAAAAAATCGTTTTGGGAATGTCTTGTTGACTGTTACGACAGTGATATGCAATTTATATATTTTTCTGTATGATATGAATAAAACAACACATTCCAAAAGAGCTATAGTACAAATTAATGATTATAAACAATTTAAAACATATGTAGTGGCATGCATTATAAGCAAAGCTTTGTACGATATACAAGAAGTTATCTGTTTTGAGTTACGCGTCATATATACAACATGCAACAAATACTGTGTATCTAAAATATCTGTCCAGTCGAGTATTCTCAAACTTGCAAAAAATGAAAGACAACAGCAATCCTTTCTATTTTGAGTTAATCGCCGTAAAACTTACATGGCAATTCAAAAAAAATCTCGGTTTCGTAGTTTTAAGTGTACGCCTTTGTC